CTGCTCAAGGCTTGCACTACCACTTGAGCCTCAGTTCCACTTCTGGCTTTTTGATGATTAATTAGAAATAAGAGTCTCCTGGACTTTCTTGCTCTGACTTACTTCAAACCACAATCCTCAGATGTCAGCCTCCAGAAAAGTTAGGATTACAGGCCTGAGCCACGGGTTCCCCAGCTTTTTTCTTTATCTTATGTCAGACACATAGCTTCTGTTTCTTCTCAACACTCAATAGAAGTTTTTTACAAAGGATATTTGCTGCTCTATAATAAATCGTAACTGTTTACATGTATAAACTTCCACATGTCTGCCTCTTTCAGCATACTCATTCAGAGGTATCTAAATCTCTTTCTCAAAAACTTGCAATTCCAAGCCAGGCACTGGTGGCTCACACCTATAAGCCTAGCTACTCAGGAGGCTGAGATTTAAGGATCACGATTCAAAGCCAGCCCTGGCAGGAAAGTCCGTGAGACTTTTATCTTCAAATAACCAGAAAGCCAGAAGTGGTGTTGTGGCTCAAGTGGTGGAGTGCTAGCCTTGAGTTGAAGAGTGCAGAGAAAATGCCCAAGCCCAGAGTTCAAGCTCCATAATGAACAACAACAACAAAATAGTTTAGATAGTCAGTCGATGGGTGTTCCTGGACCAGTAGAATGAGAATTGGAGAAATGAAATATCCAGATAGTTTGCAGTTTTTTAATCTTTCAACTTTATCCCTCAATCTCAGTGTTCAGCATCTAGTCCTAAATGTTTTCTCTTTGGCAAAGTTACCCTTTCAGCAATTATTTTACCAGAACAGGAAACAGTGATGCTCCAAGAAGGAGGTCTGCAGAAGCAAGACAAACTTCATGAGTTTTTTGGGTACCAAGTTTGTGATGTTGTTGAAAAAAAGAGAGAGAATTGAAGGATACATTGAAGTAGAAACCAAGAAGCTTTTTCAGTAAACAATGGAAGGAATAAAAAGATAATACACAACCCAGAAATGTGTGTAGACACATCAGATAACAAGTCTGGCTCTAACAGGTATTTATAATGGAAAAGTAGGTTGAGGTTTGGCTCAATGTGTTTTCCTTTGATTCAACACCTGGTGCAGGTAATCATTTTTGCTTTTAAATTGGTTAATCAGTTGGTCCCAGAGGTATTTATTTATTTATTGGTTGTGGGGTTTGAACTCAGGGCCTGGGTGCTGTCCCTTAGCGCTTTTGCTCAAGACTAGCACTCTACCACGTTGATCCACAGCTCTACTTCCAGTTTTTTTTTATTGTGAAAATACTGTACAGAGGGGTTACAATTACATGGGCAAGATAATGAGTACATTTCTTATCAAGCATTGTAGCCTCCTCTTTTGTTTCCCTTTCCCATCCCTTCCCAGCTTCCCCACCCTCTCCCGTCTACTTCCAGTTTTTAAGTGGTTAGTTGGAGATAAGAGTCTCATGGGGACTTTTGTGCTTGGGCTGGCTTTGAACCATGATCCTCAGATCTCAGCCTCCTGAGTAGTTAGAATTACAGGTGTGAGTCATCAGTGCCCAGCGTGGTTTCAGAGGTTTTATAGCTAGTCTGCTCACAGATGTGTGAACAACCCTTTAAACAGAGGATGAGTTTGCCATATCTTCCCTTCAAAACAAGTGTCTATTTTTTCTCTTTTGGGTCTGGTCGTGGGGCCTGAATTCTGGGTCTGGGCGCTGTCCCTCAGCTCTTCAGCTCAAGGCTAGCGCTCTACCACTTGAGCCACAGCGCCATTCCAGCTTCTTTTTGCTTATGTGGTGCTGAGGAATCGAACCCAGGGCCTCAGGCATGCAAGGCAAGCACTCTACCACTGAGCCACCTTCCCAGCCCCACAAGTGTCTATTTTTAAGATATTTTTTCTTTTCCTTCTTTTCCTTCCTTTCTTCCTTCCTTCCTTCCTCCCTCCCTTCCTTCTTCCTTTCTTTCCTTCCTTCTTTCCTTCCTTCTTTCCTTCCTTCCATCCTTCCTTCCTTTCTCTCTCTGTCTTTCCTTCTCTCTCTTTCTCTCCCTCCCTCCCTCCCTTCCTTCCTCTCTCTCTCTCTCTCTCTTTCCCATGAATGTCAATTTTGGTGCTAGAACTCAGGACTAGGATGCTGTCCCTGAGCTTCTTGTTTCTTTTGCTCAAGGCTAATGTTCTAAACTTGAGCCATAGCTCCACTTTTGGTCTTTTTCTTTCATTTATTAGAGATGAGTTGCCAATTTTCCTGCCAGGAAAATTTCCTGTCCTGGCTTGGAATGTCGATCCTCCAATCTCAGCCTCTTTAGTAGGTGTGAGCCACCAGCACCCAACACCTTAAGATAAACACGTTTTACACCCAAAGGGGTCATTTCCTCCAAGTATTTTCCTCTCATACCCAGGACAAGTATATTTAAGACATTCTTGCTCAGTTCTTACAGCACACTAATAATTTGGGTAAGCAGAAAAGGTCAGAAGGATAGGGCTGTTTGTAAGAATCCTTCATGACCATCCCAGGAGACCACATGGAGGCAGGCAGCCATAGGAGAAAGACTATTATAAAGTTTATTAGAGGGCCATATCTCCTGGAAGAGGGAGCACATGGCATTTGCCCCTATCCAGGTTGCAAGTAAGTCTGGGGCAGGTAGTGAAGTAGGTCTGGGTAGAGAGAGAGAGAGTGGCCAGCTGCATGGGGGATACTCTAGGGCAGGGAAAGCTCAGGTCTGGGTGGAGCTGAGGACCAGAGGTGGGGATAATAACTAACATTGTTCTTTTCAGATCTTAGCCTCCTGAGTAGCTAGGATTACAGTTGAGAGCCATTGGCATCCAGCTAGAGAGCTGCTGTTTTCTCTCTCTCTCTTTTTTTTTTTTTTGGGTCCGGTCATGGGTCCTGAACTCTGGGCCTGGGTGCTGTCCCTCAGCTCTTCAGCTCAAGGCTAGAGCTCTACCACTTGAGTCACAGCGCCACTTCCGGCTTTTTTCTTTTTGCTTATGTGGTGCTGAGGAATCGAACCCAGGGCCTCAGGCATGCAAGGCAAGCGCTCTACCACTGAGCTGCCTTCCCAGCCCCTGTTTTCTCTTTTTAAATTACGTCTTACTGAGTGTTGTAGCTTATTGAAGCATTGTAAGGCTTCAATGCAACAGCATAGAGATGTAGGATTTTTAAGAATGGTTGGATCATAAGGCTCTGCCTTCATGAGTGGATTATCACAGTAGTGAGATTGTTACATGTGGCTCACACCTGTGACCTTAGCTATTCAAGAGGCTTAGATGTGAGGATTGCAGTTCCAAGCCAGCCCAGGCAGAAAACTCCCCATAAGACTCTTATTCCTAATTAACTCAAAACTGCAAGTGGAGCTGTGGCTCAAAGTGGTGACTTTCTGGGTGGAGGGGGCTTTTCACCCCTGGAGGTGAGATAGGCCATTCTTTGGATTGCAGATGTCGGAATGTTTAGCTCTAGGAAAGCTTGGCTACAGATGCTCTTCCCTCTTTCCCTAAATGGTTTGATTTGCTCGCCCCTGATTATTCCCTTGTATGGTCTGCTTCTGTTGTGCTTGGGTCTCCACCCCCAAACAGGTGATTTTTGTCTCTAAAGGCTTTGTGCAAGATGCATTTGGGGCTGAAGGTCTTTGAAACTGGAGTCCACCCGCAGTCTTTGGCTTTCTAATAAAGACTCCCAATTTGACCTTTCAAAATGTGGCTTCTGTTTCTATTGATTGAATTTCTGTATAACACAGCCTTGAGCAAAGGAGCACAGGAACAGAGCCCGGGCCCTGAATGCAAGCCCTAAGACCAACCGGAAAAAAAAAAAGTCTGGGAGTGGAGGTCTGGCTCAAGTGGTAGATTGCTTGTCTTGAGCAAAAAAGCCACACCCAAAGAGAGAAACTCAGTGTTCAAGCCCAAGTACCAGCACACACATACTCACAAAGAACCAGCTAGGGACTGAATCTTCAGCTTATAATGCTCTGAAGGATATTTCATATTCAAACTGTAATACTAGGCATTATATTCCAATTTAGGAATTGTAGGGGTGGGGGACACCAAAGCTGACATTCTACCACTTAAGCCACACTTCCACTTCCATCTTTTTGGTGGTTAACTGGAGATAAGATCTTATGGACTTTTCTGTCCAGGCTATCCTCGAACCACGATCCTCGGATCTCAACCTTCTGGGGTTGCTAGCATTACAGATATGCGCCATCAGCTCCCTTTCCATAAACTTAACTAGTGTGGGACATTCCACACCCATTTATAAGGAGGCTCCGCAGCTGCAACCTTGGATCCAGAATGGGATCCTCTGGAGTAAAAAAAAGAAAAAAATGAATAAAATCCTCCTCAAGGGGCTGGGAAGGTGGCTCAGTGGTAGAGTGCTTGCCTTGCATTCATGAGGCCCTGGGTTCGATTCCTCAGCACCACATAAGCAGAAAAAGCCGGAAGTGGCGCTGTGGCTCCAGTGGTAGAGCGCTAGCTTTGAGCTGAAGAGCTGAGAGACAGCGCCCAGGCCCAGAGTTCAGGCACCATGACTGGTTAAAAAAAAAAAAATCCTCCTCAAGACGGCTGGTGACAGGCTTTGATGCTGGGAATCAGATTTACTCCAGCTAGAATCCTGGAAAACAGAAACGGCTGTTGTGCTGTCTACCGTCCCCACACCCAGCAGGGGGCGCGCGATCTCACAAGGACAGGTCTAAGAGAAGTAGGATGAGCAAAGGCTCGGGAGAGATGACAGAGCTAAAGAGAGACTGAGCGAGAGAGCTGGCGAAGGTGATTTACACCTCCAAGACATTCGTTTCTTTATTCATTCTTTAATCATTCCTTCTGTTCTGGCAGGTGTCAGGTGCCAAGACCGGCTCGCAAAAGGAGCACATCTCCTCCAAGAGCGAAGGAAAGGAGAGCCGCCTAAGGAGTCACAAGACAACCAATCATACATTAGATGCGGGGTAGCTGAGAATACGGCGCTGCGGCCCCGCCCCGCCCCGCCCCGCCCCGGCGGCTCCCGCAGGCCTGAGGTTGCGCAGGCGCATGGTACCACGTGACTACCGAAGCCCCGCCCCGCCTCCGCCTCCTACGAGAGCGGCCTCAGCTTGCGGCGCCACCAGGTCAGCTGCGAGGCTTGGGCCGTGTGGGCCGGGTGGGCGGGTTGTGGTGAGCTCGGGCTGCAGGAGGCTGGAGGCAGGGTGATGGGTGCGGGGTCCCGGACCAGTGAGAGGCGTGTGAGGGCGAGCGCGGGCCGGAGGCGCGGGGGGCTGCGGCCTGACAGGAGCCCGCGGCCTGACGTGGCGGGGGGCGCGGGAGGAGGGACCCCCGGGCGCGTTCTGTCCGGGCTGGTGCTTTGCTGGGGGCTGGGAGTCTGAGGCTTCCGTGCCGCTGCAGACAGACTGGCCTTGTCGCCTCCGGTCAGGTCCTGTCGCCTGTGGCGGGTCCGAGTGTGGCCTTACCCGGCCGCGCAACGGTAGGCGCTGCTGAGGTGGGACCTGCAACAGGCGGGTGGGTCTTGTCCAAGCTTGCCACCTGGCCTGACTTCTGACCTTGGCCTGAGGAGCCTCAGTGTCCTCAGCCGCGCGTCAGAACTGGGGAGTGGTGGGGCTAAGGGCTGCAGACGCAGACGCCAGGCCCGGCTGTCTTTCCCGGTTTTCTGAGTGACGACAGAGATCCAGAGATCCCTCTGTCAGTGCAAAATCACCTGGTCCAAAACGCTGACGATAGATCCCTCCTTCAGTGCAAAATCGCCTGGTCCTGAAGCATCTGGCGTTAGGGTCCCACTTATTTTAGATACTGCATGAGTTGAACAAACAGACCTGGGCCCTGAAAATGCAGGGGGCATCACTACCTTCAGCCCTGGGCTCCTCCCTGAGCGCCCCCCCCCCCCGCCGCTTTTCCAGGCCTCTGAGGGGCCTGAACTTGAGTATTCAAGATGCTCCAAATCTGCTGTCTGTTAACTCATTCAATTGCAGACCATCGCTCCCTGTGGAAATTAGAACCCACCCTCTCTTTCTGCTCTTCACAAACTGTCTCCATTGCCTTGATCAAGACCTTGTTTCATACAGTCCAGGACTAGGGGGCCTTGAGAGCAGACTACTCAGTAAATGGTAGAGTCGAAAATTCCTTAAAATGCATTTGATTTTCATTTCTACATTTATACGAAAAATAATTTTACCTTCATGTTGTAACTATTTGGGATAGAAAAATTCCTTTCTGTTTTTCCCCAAAGCTTTAACTGTTCAGAATGGAGGGACCTTGCTTGGAGATGTTACAGATTTGTGGTTGGGGAAGGACTTAGGAAAGGCCTTAAAGATAGAATAAGTCTCTGACAAATGAAAATGTAGATGAGAATGTCAGGGAGTGAGATCCTAAGAGCATTTTATTATTATTATAGAAGGACAGGCATAATCTAGAAGGAATAAAGAAGGGTGTGATACCTTTCCACTTAATGCTTTATTTTACAAAACCTTATTTATTATAAAAATGTACTACTTTAAAAGATAGTTTGTCTAAATTAGCAAAGATATAAAAGAAACATTTCTTAGTGAGCTAGAAGTTGCCCAAATATTTCTATGATTTTCTGGTAGGAGAATAATTGGCACAACTTTCAGGGAGGATAATTTAGTAGCATTGGTTAATAGTGACAAATATACAATAAAATATCCCAGCAGTTCTGTATCTAGGAATTTTTTTCCTTGGGTATCTGCTGCAAATATGGCACTTCTAAACTTTAATGCAACATTTACTTGTAATAACAAACTATTGGAATACATCCAAATGACTCACTAGGATTGTTTAAATAAGTCATGTTTATCCAAACAATGGGCTGTGGGAGGGATTTGTGGAGGAATGCAGTATGTCGACTGTTAGGTAACAGTTATACTGTATGTATATAGTATAGATATACTGTATCTATACTCCATAGATGCCCTCTGGACAGGTGTTTTGGAGGGTGAAATTGTAACTTTTTTGTGTATCTTCCTTTTTTTTTTTTTAAGTCCTGGGACTTAAACTCAGGGCTCTAACACTGTCCCTGAGTTTTTGTGCTCAAGGCTAGGTCTCTACCACTTGAGCCACAGCTTTACTTCTGGTTTTTTGGTGGCTAATTGGATAAGAGTCTCATGGGCTTTCCTACCTGAGCTGGCTTCAAACCATGATCTAGGATTATAGGTGTGGCACCCAGTGAAATTGTAACTTTCAATGGGAGAAGATCTTGTTGGGGCAAAAGAGGGAGGCAGTTAAAATGTTTTAATATAACTTTCTTTGCCTTTTGATTTTGAATCCTGTGAATGTATTACAGGTTCAGAAATATATATAAGAATTTCACTTGGGGGGGTGGGGGAGGGGAGGATGGGAAGGGGAAACAAGAGGAGGCTACAATGCTTGATGAGAAATGTACTCATTATCTTGCCCATGTAATTGTAACCCCTCTGTAAAGTATTTTCACAATAAAAAAAAAGAATTTCACTTAAATAGTTTGCACTTAGGAACTAAATCAGATAATAATTAGTCTTTTTCTTTAAATTCCCTTTTTCTTTCCTGAAGATAATTATGACCTCAAATTTGGCTTTTATTATTTTAAAAGATTTTGACAACAATAAGGTTATACTATACATATTCTGCAACTTGTTTTCGCTTTCTGTGTTTTCAACTTTGATGGCTAAATCCTGAATTTGCTCATTTTAACTGTTGCCTGTGGTTTGGTTGACGTTGTTGTTGTTGTTGTGTGGCTTGAACTCAGGGCCTGGGCACTGTCCCTGAACTTTTCAGTTCAAGGCAACTGCTCTACCATTTGAGCCACAGCACCAGCCACTTCCATTTTCTGAGTGGATTATTGGAGATAAGAGTCTCATGGACTTTCCTTCCTGGGCTGGCTTTGAACCACGATCCTCAGATCTCAGCCTTCTGAGTAGCAAGGATATCAGGCGTGAGCCACTGGCGCTGGCTTGGTTGACTTTCTTGGACCTAATATGTGTCTACTCAAGGACAGATGTTTTGGTGATGATCAGTGCATTGTACAATCTTTAAAACATTTTTTTGGAAACAAGGTCTTGGTGTACAGCCTAGTCAGGCTCAAACTTGGGATCCTCCTGTCTCAGCCTCATAAATGTTGGGATTATGCATGTTGGACTTTTGGACTGCCTGTCACATGGATTAATTTTGTTGCACTCTAAGGCTATTCTCCTCCCTAACAATGAACTTGTTTTATGCCCTACTCAATACCTAACGTGCTTTGCGTGCCCAAGGAAGTAGCCTTTAAAAAAAACAGTATTCATCTTTTCTGTGTGTGTGTGTGTGTGTGTGTGTGTATGTGTGTGTGTGCGTGCACGCGCATGTGCCAGTCTTGAGGCTTAAACTCAGGGCTTGTGTGCTGTACTTGAGCTGCTTTTGCTCAAGGCTAGAGCTCCACCACTGAAGCCACAGCTCTACTTCCAGTTTTCTGGTGTCTAATTGAAGACAAGAGTGTCATGCATTTCCTGTCCAAGCTGGCTTTGAAATGTGACCCTCAGATCTCAGCCTTCTGAGTAGCTAGGATTATAGGTATGAGCCACTGACATACTCTCTCTCTCACTCTCTTATGTATGTGTTAATATTGGGGTTCAACTCTAGCTCTCCCTTAGCATTTTTGCCACAACTGGTGCTTTATCACTTGAACTATGCTTTCACTTCCAGCTTTTTCTTTTCTTTTTTGGTTAGTTGGGGACAAGAGTCTTGATTTATCTGCCCAGGCTGGCTTTTGGACCTTGATTCTCAGGTCTCAGTTTCCTGAGTAGCTAACATGAACCCCTAGCACATAGCTTCATATTTATTCTTGCAATGGATGTTCAGGGAGTAGCTATCATCTGTCCTTTCCTGGGTTAGGTGGGTTGCTGTGCTTTATTATGCTCACAGATGTGGGGACCCTGACTTAGTGCCTATTGATACAATCTGTCTCCACTACATGGTTGGTTGTGGTTTGGGGTTAGGAGCCAAGGGTAGCAAATTGGCCATAGGAACTTTGAGGTGTTTATTAGACAAAGCCCTCCAGAAGCCTAAATTTCCTTGTATATAGGTAAGATTGATTCCAGTGGGGTGGGGCATATTTCTGTTATTCCCACTAAGGCGATGGAGTAGAAGCTAGATCCTGACAATACAGGCTTGTGTAAGAGAGGTCTAGGAGGGGCACTAAAAGTATTGAGGGTTGACATACCTCTTTTTGTCTAAGGACTAGCTAGTGTCTGGACAGAAAAAAGATCTTGAAAGAATCCCCCCCGCCCCCCCAGGTCATGGGCCTAGGCACTGTCCCTCAGCTCTTCAGCTCAAGGCTAGCGCTCTACTACTTGAACCACAGCACCACTTCCAGTTTCTGGTGGTTAATTGGAGATAAGAGTCTCATGGAGTTTCCTGCCTAGGCTGGCTTTGAACCATGACCGTCAGATCTCAGCCTCCTTGGTAGTTAGGATTACAGGAGTGAGCCACTGGCGCTTGGTTTGAAAGAGGTTTTGAGTGAGGTCACATGGAGGCCAGTGTCTAGGAAGTCAGATGGTATACTCCTGGGGTTGTTCTGGGATCTTCATGCAGTCTAGACAGAAGAGCTGAGAAGCATGAGGCAAGAGTTAGGGAAATCAGTTGGAGCATCATTTCTGTGCTCCTCACCCAGTGAGGAAGCCAATTGAGGAGTAAGAGGGTGGCTCTCTGAATAGGAGAGAGGAGGAGTCAGAACCAGTGGGCTGAAGAACACAAGACTTAGAAAAGAAAAATCCAGGTGCTGGTGGCTCATGCCTGTAATCCTAGCTACTCAGGAGGCTGAGATCTGAGGATTGTGGTTCAAAGCTAGCCCAGGCAGAAAAGTCTGGGAGACTCTTTTCTCCAGTTAACTACCAGAAAACCAGAAGTAGTGCTGTAGCTCAAGTGGTAGAGGCGCTTGCCTTGAGCTGAAAAGCCTAGGGACAGTACCCAGGCATAGAGTTCAAGCCCCATGAGTGACCAAAAAAGAAAAAAGAAAAGAAAATGGTAAAAACAAACTGGTAGATGTGCCACCAATGAAACTAGGCCAGTTGGCTGGACTAAGGCCTGAGCTGGTAGTGTGCTTGGAATGAAAGGCTGGGGGTGGGGGGCGAAGGTATGGACTGAGTGGAATGGATGGATCAAAGGAAGTGAAAAGGTGGGGAAGGAAATTGCTCTGGGGTAGAGTTTCTACATAGGAGAGAATTCCAAGCCTGGAGTGGTTATTGGAGACAATGATCTTATGGACTTTCCTGCCTTGGCTGGTGCTGAATTGCGATGTTCAGATCTCAGCCTTCTGAGTAGCTAGGATTATTGATGTGAGCCACCAATGCCTGGCTTCCAACCCCTTTTATATTTTGAGACAGAGTCTTGCTAAGTTGCCCAGGCTGGTCTCAAACTTGAAATACTCTCCCTAAGTCTCCTAAGTAGCTAGGATTGCAAGCAAGCATCACCATAACTGGCTCAAAACCCTCTGTTTTACTGCAGTGCTGAAGGAAACAAAATAGGATGAAAGCCAAGTAGGATTAGAGCTGTGAGGTAACCGGGAGCTAGAGGATTTGGGGTGATAGGGAAGGCATAGGTGAGCTGATGCGAGGCATAGTAGAGTATAGAACGTGTGTGTGTGTGTGTGTTTGTGTTAAGGTACTACCGCCTGCTCACTCCCTGTCTCTTCTGTCTTGCCAGCTGACAGGGCCGCAGTAGTGAGGGCTGGTGTGGCTGTCAGGATGGCGGAGGAACAGGTGTTCACCCAGCTGTGCAAGTTGCCTACACAACCATCCAACCCGCACTGTGCCAACAATACCTACCGAAGCACACAGCACTCCCAGGCCCTGCTCAGGGGACTTCTGGCTCTCCGGGACAGTGGGATCCTATTTGATGTTGTCCTGGTGGTAGAGGGGAGACACATCGAGGCCCATCGCATCCTGTTGGCTGCATCCTGCGATTACTTCAGGTAAGTTACCCACACCTGTTTTGTTTGTTTGTTTGTTTGTTTTGGTCAGTTGTGGGGCTTGAACTCTGGACTTGGGCGCTGTCCCTGTGCTCTTCAGCTCAAGGCAAGCACTCTACCGCTTGAGCCACAGTGCCAATTCAGATTTTCTAGTGGTTTATTGGAAATAAGAGTCCCATGGACTTTCCTGTCCAGGCTGGCTTTGAACCGTGATCCTCAGATCTCAGCCTCCTGAGTAGCTAGGATTACAGGAGTGAGCCACCGGTGCCCAGCTCCACACCTGTTTTTATAAGGATAGGAACACAGGTGATTATTCCTCTACTAGGCAGGTGTGCTGGCTGGCACTAATGCTAACTGATTCCCACATTCTGGAGCCTCTCCTGTTGCCTGCTATGGAGATGCAGTCAACGATGTGACACAGAAGAGTTTTTCTTTTAGCTGTCTTGTCTCTTGGGCATATTCTTTCTTCAAAAGATAATAATGCTGGGCTGGGAAGGTGGCTCAGTGGTAGAGCACTTGCCTTGCATGCATGAGGCCTTGGGTTCCATTCCTCAGCACCACATAAGCAAAAGAGAAAAAAGCCGGAAGTGGTGGTGTGGCTCAAGTGGTAGAGCGCTAGCCTTGAGCTGAAGAGCTGAGGGACAGCGCCCAGGCCCAGAGTTCACGCCCCATGACTGGACCCAAAAAAAAGTCTCCAGATTTTGCTTCCCAGGTTGGCTTTGAATTGTGATCTTCAGATCTCTGCCTCCTAGTATTACAGGTATAAGCTACCTTCACCAAGTTTATGATGAGATTTTTTTTTCTGTTTTTGTTTTTTGTTTTTGTCGGTCGTAGGGCTTGAACTCTGGGCCTCAATGCTGTCCCTCAGCTCTTCAGCTCCAGGCTAGTGCTCTACCACTTTGAGCTACAGCGCCACTTCTGTTTTTCTGGTGGTTTATTGGAGATAAAAGTTTCATGGACTTTCCTGCCCAGGCTGGCTTTGAACTGTGATCCTCAGATCTCAGCCTCCTGAGTAGCTAGGATTATAGGCGTGAGCCATCGGCGCCCGGCTTCTGAATTTTTTTTAAACAAGGTATTGTTAGACAGCCCAGGCTGGCCTCAAACTCGCTATGTAACCTAGATCATGCCTAGATCATGACACCCCAGGCCTGGCTATATTAATAAGAGTTCTACTTAATAAGTGAGACTCCTGGTAGATGATAGGACTGGCCCTGTACATGGTGACACAAATTGAAAGTTGATGCTCTGGGGTGTTCTTAACTTCACCCAGACATAGTGAAATGGAGCCTCTTGAGTTTCTTTTGCCTAGGCTAGCCTAGAACCTCAATTCCCCAATCTCTGCCTCCCCACCATGTAGTGATTATGTGCTTGAGCCAGCATATTCGGCCCCTACTCTGCCTACTTGCAGATGTGGAATTTTGTCAGAGCCTATCCAAGGCACATCTTCTGAGGACATTTGCCTAATTGTCTCTCATATTTTCCCAGCCAAAGGAATCTCATTCTTTATGCAATGTGCTACAGGCCTCTTGGAGCAGAGAGCAATACTTTCTTGCCCTAGACAGCATGCTTTAGGAATTGGATGATCACACTGAATTTTATGTCTTCTTCTGGCTTTCTACAGTGTATCTTTGCTCCTCTGTCCTTACTCTTATCTGCTTCATTCTATGTACATCTGAGCTAGTACCTCTGGCCCCGGACCTCTTTGGTTTTTGGATCCTTAAGACCAAAGAACTCTGTCCTGTATATGGCCCCCTGGGTCATTTCTTCTTCCCTTTGTTTCATACCATTGTGAATTACACAGGACTATTTTGCTTAACTTGATGCCTGTGATTTTGAAAAACTGAACAAAATTGTTGACCACTAGAAAATTAAAGTTGACAGGACTTCACCCTCCAGTCCTAGTCCTTTTTCCTTTTTTATTTTTTGAATAGAATCTTACTTTTGCCTGGCTGGCCTGACCTATGATCCTCTTATTTATGTTTCCCATATATTTGTGATGACAGGTGTATACCATGGTTCACCTTTTTATTGGTTGACATAGGGTCTCAGGAACCTTTTGCTCTGGCTAGCCTGCAACTTTGATTCCCCCATACCTGTTTTCTGTGTATCTGTGATTACAAGCCTGTATTCACATACCTGGCCCCTCTGATACCATTGATACTTTCTCAAAAAAAAAGTGAATTCCAAGCCAGGCACAATAGCTTACACTTGCAATATTGGCTACTCAGGAGGCTGAGTTCTGAGGATTGCAATTCAAAGTCAACCTGAGCAGTGAACTCCATGAGACACTTATTTCCAATTAAATATGGAAAAAGCCAGAAGTACAGCTGTGGTTCAAGTAGTAGAGTGTCAGCCTTGAGCATAAAAGCTCAGGAACAGCACTCTAGGCCCCAAGTGAAAGCCCCAGGACTAGCAAAAAACCAAAACCCAAACACACACACACACACACACAC